TTTCATTAAAAAGCAATCATTTAAATGTTTTCTATTCCTTTTGCTGATGAAATTATAGCTTTAAAAATATTTAAATTAAGTAAATTGAAATGTAGAAATTGAAATAAACTTTATTTAATCAATAATTGAAAATAATATTTTAACAATTTTCTGTTTATTGATTAATATTAATAAACTACAATTTCACAGTATCCAAGTGATGCAAATGCTATATACACACATGAAAACCTAGCTGTCCCACCACTTGCTTTCTTCAAAGCCTTAACCCAATCAGCCATGGAATCAATGAGTTCTAAAGTCTTGGCCTGTGGAATGTTGGCCAATTTTGCTTGCAAAAAATCTAAAAGTTATCCATGGAAAATGGATTTTTGTGAACATTGTCACCCTACATAATCCAGCAGATTCTGCATAGGTTTTATAAGATTCAAATCAGGTAACTGACTAACATTATCAAGCCATGGAAGATGACTTATACTGACAACCAATTCTGGGTTGTTTTGGCAATGTGACAAGGAGTTTGTTTCATCATCCATGAACAGGGTGGATGCTTTCTCCATCAGTCCACCAGAGAATATTCAAATTCAACTTCTCCAACATGGCAATATATTTTTCAGAGTTAATACTACTGACATTCAGTATTTCTGTTTACTTATGGGTTGTCTCTGTATTTAAGTTTCAGAAAAAAGTTTTAAACATGCATAAAAAACACAACAAAAAAAACTGTTGACAAAATATATAAATGTATTTTTTAATCTGATCTGTAATTTGATATATTATTTAATCTGATTAAATTCTATTTAAAAAATTTATAACAGAGCTAATGCATTGACACAAGATTTGTAGAATTCAGAAGACAATAACTTGACAGCACAGCTCTTATTGATAAATCATTATACAGTTATCTCCTACTTTACAAAAGTTTGCTTTACACCACTTTGCTTTTACAAGAGATTTATATTAATACCTGTTTTCACTAACCAAGAGAAATCTGAAGAGGGGGAAAGGTAATGAAAAGATGCACTTCTATTTTAATGCTTCTCACAATCAACATGCCTCAAAGGCTGTAATTCCATCATATCTGACATTGAGGTTCAGTAAATGATGCAATGAGCCAAATGAATATCATCATCATCATGAGTTAACTAAGTTTTGAATTCATTTACTTGAGCCAGGTTTTCCTTAATGTACAATTGCATGTATTTATTTGAGAAAAAGAAAAATCATATGAATATGTAGACTAATTCATCTTGAAAAATCAATGTTTAAAACTCAAAACAGAAGTAAATTTAGCGTGAACAATTATTTTCACTTAGGACTGATTAGTTATATTTAGATTTCTTAAAAGTTTAAAGTCCATGAAATGTTTATAATACTCTTATCATTACATAAATTCAATAATAAAAGTTATCTCGATTCAAGGTACATGTGTCATCCAAAAGCAAAAGGCTCTTTCTCCATAAAATTGAAAATCAAGTTGCATACTTGTCTTTGTAATTGTCTTGACAAGATGTTAATTTTACAAATTGTCATTATATCTAATTAGTGTTCTTTAGTGATACCACCCAATATTCAATAGAAAAGAAATAATCACAAAATCCAATAAAGAATATCACTCCAAAACTAAAGAATAATAATAAATATGATGAAATTATACTTTGATTACTATAAACAATTTGAACTAAAAATAAGATGAATAAACAATCTGCCATTTGTCAGCCAATTGGACTTTTAAAACCAATGATTAACTGAAAATTATATAAGTTTAATTGAAATTAGTAACAACAATGAGATTAAAAACAGAAAAAATTGAGAACAGCCCTTGCAATCATTTCTATCACTATAAACTACACTTTAATATATTGGGTTGTTTGGAAAGTAATTTCATTTTTTTTCTGTGGAAAAGAACACAATATTTTTATAATAAATAAATATTTTATTGAATTATATATCAACCATTTTGGTCAAATACCTGTTGTCATCATTTCTGGTAGTAACATGATTTCATATTCATAAAAGTTTTGATCATTGCTTACAAAAAACTGATCTAAGTTATAACAGTTTCTGACGATTTACCAAACTTATGTGAAATTTGACATTATTGTGATAAAACACTACACCTGTTTTGTTGATCAATTTTGGCCATCTTTTCTGTTTGATGATATTACTCAATTTGTTTACTTGATGACAGTACACTTTTGAATCAATTGTTAAATTGTCTGGTAAAAACTCCAAAAAAAAATTTTCTTAAAATCCCACCAAAGAGAGCATCTCTCTTTAAGAACATGTGGAACCCATATATCAAGCTTTGAAACAAAACCAATTTGTTTCAAGTAATCATAAACAGTTCAATTTGACAAACTTAATCTCTTAGTGATTTCATGTGCTGTTATTCAGCAGTTTGCTTCAATCAGTACCTTTATTTTGTTTTCATTGGCTTCAACTGGCCATCCTGAATGTGGTGCATCTTCAATATTGAAATTGCCAGAACAAAATTTTGTAAACCAGTTTTGGCACCGTCATTCTGTCAATACATCTTCTCCATAGATATCACACAATTTTTTTCTCGCTTGAACAGCATTCTTACCTTTTCAGTAATAAAAGAGCAAAATATGCCAAAAATGCTGCTTTCAATCTTCCATATTTGATGGGACACAAAAAATAAACAATTGCACAAAATCAAACAAAANTGAGAGTTTACACTGAATATTTAAAACAAGTTAAACATAATAGTCACAATGTTCTGCTTTCTAAATTTTATCTATTGGCTATTCTTTCAACTACTTAAACACAGTGAAGCACATCCTTTCAGAATTCATAATTTTAAAATTATAATCAATATATTTTTTGTTTAAATATTGTGATTCTGTAAATTATCTTTTGAATCTTTGTAAGTATCAATACATTCCTTGTGAAATACTGGCTTGAACTTAAAACATCTAAACTTGATTTATAGTGTAACTGGAGTTTTCAGTACTTAAAATGCTAATTTACATTTATATTTGAAAATATGGATGATGCAACCTCAATTAAATCCAGATTTTCAATGCTTCACTGTACTTATTATCATTGTCAGAAGAAAAAGTTTCACTATTAACTGTACTGTAATTACAAATCCAAAATATAATGTCACTAAAAGTTACTATCACCACTGGATACATTTGATACTTATGTGAAGGTTGAATACCTGCTTAGGAAGCTGCCTTACTGATTTATATTTTCACTCTACTGTAAATTACATTTATTTCTATAGTATCAAAAAACTATATAGTATTAAGGTCTATAAAAATTTTATCAAAATGCAATAGAAATGAATAGTTATAAAAGCAAAGTGAATGCATTTCATTCTTTATATAACTAACCAATAGAAAGCTAGATTACATCCATTTATATAAACATATTTTCATTAAAATCACCAAATTGCTTACATACATATATATAATTTGTCTAGGCAAAAATATAAATTTTGACTTTTGTAGACAAATTATAGCTCAGAAAGATATGATTAATAAACACAAAAGAAATTCATAGAACTACATAATATAAATTAATTGCAAAGAATTAATTTATTAGTCCACTGATCAAATAACAAGAGAAATAAGCAGAATACTGAAGAGATAAAAAAATTTCTACATGAATGCAAATTCTCATGAAGTAAATAGTTTCTCCCTGTACTTTTTGGATATGCTGAACCCACAAACCAATCTCAGATATAAGACTGACTATAGTGAAATTCCAGACACCTAAATATTTAACAAAGAAAGCAATTATTGGCAAATTTCATGCCAATAAGCTGCCTCAACTTGTTCGATTATGTTATCAACACATTTTCACTTCGCGGTCCTTCTCTGTTCTTTTTCCGTTATTTACACGTGTAGGTCATTTCATTGTTATCCACATTTGATATCATCATTTATCACATACTTTCATGACACTGTTGTCTTTACGCCAGAACTGCCAAAAATTAACGCGATTGGCAAATCGTAGTGACAGTGGGCCAATAGAGAGCAGGATCCTTGCCATAATGCGGTTTGCGCGTGAATTTTCGTACGTGCATTAATCAAGCTGAATAGTTTGGTAGAATATTCGGCTATGCTCCTAGCAGAATATTCAGTATTCAGCCTGAGGCCGAATACTGTAAGGTCTCGTTTTATGCGGTGGATACGTTCTACAGAAAAGCGCATATAAAAAATTTGCATAAAAAAACACTTTACTTGCCTTGAAAAAGTAGGGATACGTTCCATAATTTTCTAAAATCGCATAAAACCAAAACAACGAGTTAAAATTAACTTAAAACCGCATAAAAAAGTTTGCAGAAATTAAAAGAAATAGGCTGCTTAATAAATTACTTCGAATGTCTGAAAGAAATTCATATAAAAGCTTAAAATAAACTTGTATTCAAACTTAATTCAGTTTATTTTATTGAAAAGTAATACAAGGGGAATCCCCGAATTGCAAAAGCTCACTCTAAAAACAAATCACTAACATCTGGATGTGAAGAGTTAATTAAAACACCTTTAGTTCCTCGCCCGAGTTAACTCAGGCAGGTTACATAGCGTTACATAAAACACGGTCCTTAAGGCATAAATTTTTGGAATGTTTTTTAAGTCTCCAAATTTTTAAAAAATATTTAAAAATATACGGTCAGCTAGTGTTCACCCTACTTTAAACCCTTGTCCTCCCACGACGTCTATGAGAATGCCCCGGGAAATCCAACTCCAGCTGTGTTCAAGGTTATCCAGATGTNATTTTTAAAAAATGTAATAATCTAATGTAAATGTTTCTTCTTATCAGTTGACTGATGAGGGGCTATACGCCCGAAACGTGTAAAAGTGCCCGTATCAACTGAATAAAGTGGATAAACGCCAAGTGTTTTAATAATAACACAGTCTTGTGTTCAATAGTAAATAAATACGAAAACACGGTTTAAAAAAACGAATCAAAAAAAATAAACCACTCTATAAAATGTCATATTAGAAAAATATGCATAAAAATTCTAATAAATTAATTTATGAAAATTAAATATTAAACTTACTTTCTGTGTTGGTGTTTTCTGAATGGCGAGAAGGAAAACGAGATAACTCTATATGCATTCCGTCCAATAGAATTATCAGATACGTAGTAGATCTGCCAGACTTACTAAGAGTGTTTAATTCCAAGGGCAAAGTCAATTTATCCACTGAAAATAAAATTTACAATTATTTTCTACATTCAAAATTGAAATGCAATAGAAATAAAAGAAAGATATTTGAAAATGGTTCTATCTAAAAATGAAAAATTTTGCATCTTGTAAAAAATATGAAATGCTTTCAAAGTTGAAAAAATAATTATTATACTGATACTAAAAGTTGTTTATTTTAGCTGTACTTATTTGAATTATATCTGGAAAATTAAGTTATTTTTTAAAACAAAATTTATACATTAATTTAAAAAAAAATAATCATTCTTGAAAATTGATGATCAAACATTGCTGAGTTTTTTTAAGAAATGCATTCTATTAAATTAGGTTAAATTTTTTGATTTAGTCTGTAAAATTATAATTGTTTAATAATTATTAAGGATAAGATCTAGCAAACTAGTAACTACAGAAACAAGATGATTGAAATACTGTCATTAACTGTTGTTCATTCAGCTTTCTGTAAAAATTTGTGATGAACAATTCAATCTTTTCATTAATTCATTAAATCTTTTCTTAACAATTTTTTGGCTTTTTCTGGTTAAAGTTTAGTATCATATTATTTAATTGTATAAATTAAAAATTAATATAAATCATAATATAGTAATTTCTATTATTATTATGTAAATGTAATATTCTGGTGATACTACTGTTAAATTGATCAAAATTAAAATACAGCTATTTAAAACAACTAATTTAGCAGGTTTGTATGTTTACCTGCATTTAAATATTCCTGATTATTTGGTGTGTATTTAATATTTCTGCTTTCCATAACATATGTATATATACATTCATCAAGTAGGCAGTATAATTTAAAAGTTGAATAATTTCAAATGCATTTTTGTTGGATAACTGTCAACTTTCACACCTGGGAGCTAATCATTCTGTGAGTTTTCACAAGTCAGCAGCAAAAGTGACACTTTCACATAACTTCCTGACATACTGTCTTAAGTTCATGGGTTGAAGATAACAAGGAATTGAAAAATTCTTCAAATTTAAAACAAATATTTTTAACCTCTCCACATCTTATAATATCTTAAAATTTGTAATAACTTTTTAATGACAATAGTAATTAAAGTTTTAATTTACCTCCATTAAAAATGCATTTGAAATTATTCAACTTTTTAAAAATAAAATATTATCCTTAATTCACATTTTAATTAGCTGTAACAGTCATTTCATAAATAAAATAAAATTATTTATGATTTAACTGATATTTTTAGGCCATTAGCTTTATTTAAAAGTTGTTACAATTTTTGAAACAATTAAAAAAAAAGTTAGCCGAAGGTAGGATCGAACGTAGATCGCCCGCGTAGCAAGCGAGTTCGCTACAGACTCAGACATTTCGCTGTGCTGCTATAGTGTAAAATCAATCAGTATATGAGCTGCAGTTAAAACTTTAGAGCCTTTTTTCTCAGAATCTTCTGGCTAGTGCGCTTTACAATTCTTCTGGGTGGACACCCTTCAGGTATGCTACTAACCTGCAAAGTCTCATCCCGAACTGAATTTCCGAAACCATAAGGTCCCCTTGTCAGACATAGCTTTTTACCAGTTTTATTGTGATCAGACAATTCTCTCTGGATCTAATTTTTTTGGTTACTGAGTGGTTACTTACTATTAAGGTATAATTTTATCTAAACTTTTTTGTAGTATAAGTGATGTGACACACAAAAAAAGAGTATACATAATAAATACTTTATCTACTTTATTATTATTGTTCTTATTTTCTAAATTTCTATTTACATTATGAATTTAATTACACAGATTTATATATATTAGCATGACCAATCCAAGCAGCAACAAATTCAAAATAACGTGTTGCCATTATTTTAAATCAGATGTAAACAACTAATTTTATTTTCATATTGTCTTACATTTTTTCACTATAAATTAAGAAGCCAATTTTTTTGTTAACACATCAATTAATCATATTTATTTGCAATACTAAAATAATATTGCTTCATTGGAAATTTTTGTAAAAACTAATTTACTTTAAACCTTTTATTAACTATAAATAAAAATAATCATTATCATAATTACTTACATTTTCCACCATGTTTTTCTAAAACACTATAAACATCAACACTGCATTCACCCAAAATACTGTCTTTCATTAAAGCACTATGATTACATATTTTAAAATTCAGTTTGGAGTACGGTGTAACCAATCTATAAAATTAAATAGTTGTAAGTTTCATTATAACAAAACATTAAAAACATTATACAATATGTAAAAAAATTATTAAAGAAATAGTAATTATTCTGGTGATATATTAAAATTTTTTTAAATACTTTGTTTTTATATAATGGATATATTATATTATGTTAATTATTCAAATCATAATCAAATAGATCATCTTTTCATATTCATCAATCATTAGTCATCATCACCTTTAAAAACTCTTAACTTTTTTTTTTAATGAAAGCAAAGTTTATAAAGAGCCAATAATTTACACAAATATAATTCTTGTTTGTTATTATTATTTATCATTATACTTTTGCCTTAGTAACTTTTCTTTCAAAATATTACATCTTGCTTGAAGTAGAACTATGTAAAAAATTTTATAATGAGATCATCTCTTTTTTTTACCACTTCTAATTAATTAATTTTAATAATATAAAATTATAATCTTATTACTTAATACATACTTAAAACAAACAACAAAAAAGCACACATACAATGGGAAATGCTCCTCCCACTTTGGAAATGAAGTACTTTTAATGTAATCAGTTTTCACTGGTGCTCCTCCATCAACATATAATTCAACATAAGGATTTGGTTTAAAAAATGATGATGAATGAAGTTTTGCAGAAACAACTAGGAAAAAATTAAAATTTACATTATCTACATTAAAATTTGGTTTCTTTCAAAAAATAATAGATTGTATTACTATAATAATAGTTTTCTTAACAATTAAATGTAATATAAGATGTATTTAATGTTGTAAATAAAAGATTTAATACTCAAATATGAAAGAAACACTAATACCAAATTTATAAAAACTTAAACATAAAAAGCATGAAATTTATTAAGTTATATAAAAACTAAAATTTCCTGTTAAATTAATTCATAATTATAAATAATTTAATAATAATAAGTATAAAATAATCATGGCATTTTAATTAATAAGAAGTATTTGGATACAAAATTTACAATGTTTATCTCATACTTAAAATATTCTTTAACAATCCAATTTTAAATCAGGAAAGTAAATGCTTACTTGTCACATTAAGCTCAAACAAGGAGCTACTGGGTGCTACTTCACTCATGATGTTGAAAATTAGATTCTATTAAAAAACATTTTTTAAATTATAATTATCTATTTATTTAGAAATACTTCAAATGTTGCAATAAAATAATACAGGAAAATATTAAAGAATTTAATTGATATTTTATATATAATATTATATTATATAATTCTGAAATTTTTTAAAGATACATATCATTTGAGAGTTTACACTGAATATTTAAAACAAGTTAAACATAATAGTCACAATGTTCTGCTTTCTAAATTTTATCTATTGGCTATTCTTTCAACTACTTAAACACAGTGAAGCACATCCTTTCAGAATTCATAATTTTAAAATTATAATCAATATATTTTTTGTTTAAATATTGTGATTCTGTAAATTATCTTTTGAATCTTTGTAAGTATCAATACATTCCTTGTGAAATACTGGCTTGAACTTAAAACATCTAAACTTGATTTATAGTGTAACTGGAGTTTTCAGTACTTAAAATGCTAATTTACATTTATATTTGAAAATATGGATGATGCAACCTCAATTAAATCCAGATTTTCAATGCTTCACTGTACTTATTATCATTGTCAGAAGAAAAAGTTTCACTATTAACTGTACTGTAATTACAAATCCAAAATATAATGTCACTAAAAGTTACTATCACCACTGGATACATTTGATACTTATGTGAAGGTTGAATACCTGCTTAGGAAGCTGCCTTACTGATTTATATTTTCACTCTACTGTAAATTACATTTATTTCTATAGTATCAAAAAACTATATAGTATTAAGGTCTATAAAAATTTTATCAAAATGCAATAGAAATGAATAGTTATAAAAGCAAAGTGAATGCATTTCATTCTTTATATAACTAACCAATAGAAAGCTAGATTACATCCATTTATATAAACATATTTTCATTAAAATCACCAAATTGCTTACATACATATATATAATTTGTCTAGGCAAAAATATAAATTTTGACTTTTGTAGACAAATTATAGCTCAGAAAGATATGATTAATAAACACAAAAGAAATTCATAGAACTACATAATATAAATTAATTGCAAAGAATTAATTTATTAGTCCACTGATCAAATAACAAGAGAAATAAGCAGAATACTGAAGAGATAAAAAAATTTCTACATGAATGCAAATTCTCATGAAGTAAATAGTTTCTCCCTGTACTTTTTGGATATGCTGAACCCACAAACCAATCTCAGATATAAGACTGACTATAGTGAAATTCCAGACACCTAAATATTTAACAAAGAAAGCAATTATTGGCAAATTTCATGCCAATAAGCTGCCTCAACTTGTTCGATTATGTTATCAACACATTTTCACTTCGCGGTCCTTCTCTGTTCTTTTTCCGTTATTTACACGTGTAGGTCATTTCATTGTTATCCACATTTGATATCATCATTTATCACATACTTTCATGACACTGTTGTCTTTACGCCAGAACTGCCAAAAATTAACGCGATTGGCAAATCGTAGTGACAGTGGGCCAATAGAGAGCAGGATCCTTGCCATAATGCGGTTTGCGCGTGAATTTTCGTACGTGCATTAATCAAGCTGAATAGTTTGGTAGAATATTCGGCTATGCTCCTAGCAGAATATTCAGTATTCAGCCTGAGGCCGAATACTGTAAGGTCTCGTTTTATGCGGTGGATACGTTCTACAGAAAAGCGCATATAAAAAATTTGCATAAAAAAACACTTTACTTGCCTTGAAAAAGTAGGGATACGTTCCATAATTTTCTAAAATCGCATAAAACCAAAACAACGAGTTAAAATTAACTTAAAACCGCATAAAAAAGTTTGCAGAAATTAAAAGAAATAGGCTGCTTAATAAATTACTTCGAATGTCTGAAAGAAATTCATATAAAAGCTTAAAATAAACTTGTATTCAAACTTAATTCAGTTTATTTTATTGAAAAGTAATACAAGGGGAATCCCCGAATTGCAAAAGCTCACTCTAAAAACAAATCACT